GGACTATGTCTGTATCTATTTTGTAAGGTCTTATGCAAACATGTGGTGTTGTAATAACTAATAACTAATCATGGGTTTGCAGTAGCCTCAGACTTGGTCTGGGAGATATTTTATACCTGTACTCTTGCTTACTCTTGTGTTATCCACATGTACCTGTGAGCATGCACAGTTGAGCATATGTGCATGTGGAAGCACAATGTACTGGTGTGCACTGGTGATAGGGGTAATGACGCAGAGGTAAAATCTGTCTTCAGACCTTTTTCTGGCAATTTTGTACCCAATTAACTGAAAATATTAAACCATTACATTAACAGGCCATGCACTATCATGCCTGTGTAATTGAAAGAGTAAAATTCTTCTGAATCAAAATTTCAGAAAACAAGTGAATGGAATGTTCTGAGCAATTAGCTGGTTTTTAAACTGATTGTGCATTTTTGCATCAATGGGAGGATGAAGTCAGTTCCTTTGAAAAGAAATAAATTATAGGTTTTATGACTCACATAAAGGAAATGTGTCCTTGGTGATGCTTGAACTTAGCATAAACTACCTAGCAAGTTAGAGGTATATTCTTAAAGAATTTTATATCAAAAGAATGAACAAAACCTTTCACAATTACTTATGTCTCTTTCTCAGCCATGCCTGTTTCAAGAACAGCAGAACATTTTGCTCACCTGAAAACTATCATAGGGTCCTAAACATATGAAGTCGTGATTTAAAAGACACAGATGTTAGTAGAAGTGATATAGTCACTCTATTTTTCCACTATTTCTGATAAATGCATTTTCCCCATAGATTAACAATCAAATGACTGTGCAGTTCTCTGGTTAATTCTGCTAGGAAAGAAAAGAAAAAGGAGAAGATACATTTCCTCCATGGTATAGATAACTTAGTTCTTATAACTGTGAGACCATCAACTGTGAGAGCAGTCCTTGCAAAGCTTACCCCTCATGCCTACAGTGGAAATAGCCAGTAAATCCACATTCAAAGGCAGAACTCCTTTGGTCCCATTTCTTCTTTAACCTGGTCCTTATGTTTTCTTCTCCATGGAGCAGAAAGCCCACTATTAAAGTTCCAGAAGGGACTTCTTGATCCTGAAAGAGAGAGAGAGAAGAAAACAGACATATTGTCCTTCAAAAAAAATTATTACTTGATCTTGGTAAATTTTTGCTCAATTGAAATGTTTGGGGGACAACCACTTGGGTCTGGGCTAAACTTCAGTTTCAGGCAGCTGCTCACTGAGGTCCTCTTTCCCTGATGCAGTGTGTTTTTGTTTTGTTAAGCTCACATGTGTAGCCTGAACCTTTCCCAGGAAGTTTGCTGTTAATAAGGTGTATAGCTGGTCCTTCCCTTGCCTCTTCATAGACTTTTCTTCATACTGGGAGGGGACAATGACTTCCATTATCCTCAGAGTCTACTTCTAGAAACCACATTGAAATTTGGCTCTTCCCTTGCAGGTCTATTTTTGGGGAGGGGTAGTGCATGTTCTCTTGTTGCTTAATGATTAAGGAGCAGATAGAGAAATCTTAACAAAGTCTACATTAATTCTCAGTAGTTCAAGCAGCCTAAAAGCAATCTGTCTTTCAGAGACTCATTTTTAAGGTGATTGTCTTCATCTGCATCAGCAACAGGGAATGGAAATTAGTTCAGTTGTTGTAACAAATATTCATAACTGGTTACATTGGCCCTTAGATGGGATACATGACCTGTGAGATATAAACTGGGTATTTGAAAGTCCTCACAGGGAAATTTTGTAGAACTAAATGAAATAATCAGTTTTGTTATTGTGTATTGTTGCCTGTATGGCATGCTCTGACTAGGTCTTTCTGCACAGCTCCCCTTGGAACTAATGGAAGCCATATGTGCAGGAGAGAAAAATGTACTCAAAGTTATTTTCCTCATATTAACACTGTCTTACTTTCTTGTCTAGGCACCTTAACAATGAACATGCATTGGATGACAGAAGCACTGCTCAGTGTCGGGTGCAAATGCAAGTGGTTCAGCAGTTAGAAATACAGGTTTGTTATATGGATGCATTATCCCATTACTTATTTACTGTTTACCTAAACTAAATTGAAAACACTTGCCTTAGTGACTCTAGCTTAAAGACATATGTTTCTTACATTAAATTTGTTGATATTCATGAATAAGTGAGGGTTTTTTACTTAAAGATTTTTCACATTATAAATTATGCAATAATTATCTAACATCAAGATTGTCTACAGTATTTTGCTTGAACTAAGACTCTAATGCTATTCATCACAAACAAAAAATGCAGTCCCTGGAGCAAAGACTGGATCCAAGCCATCTTCACTTTTTAAAATGCTGGGTCAGAGCCCCTCTTCCTTCTTCCCCTTCTGACCCAGCGCTTGTCCGTGCTGTTCTGTGGGATAAAAGAGTAGCAGAGCATATCTCCACCCAAAATGACTCCCAGTCTGATAGGGGGGCATTTTTTTGCAAGCAAGAAGGTGTAATGTCAGACCCACTCAGGAAGGTCCCTAGGGAGTGCCATGCCTCAGACCGCAGGCCTGCAGTGCCCTGTGCATGCTCTAACCATTAGAGGTCACTGCATGTATGTGAGTGCTCCCTTCTGCTTATGCAGGGAGTGGTGAGTACCCCTGGGGTCTCCCACTGTTGTGACAACACCTACAGGCTGCTGAGGTTGGGCACAAGCCTCAGGGATGACCGTGCAGGACACTTGGACCACGCTGTCTCCTGCTGCCCACACAGCAGTCATGGGTGGGCATGTCTCAGCAGTCCCATGCCCTCTTGGGACCGCTCAGAGGAGCTCAAGGGATGCAGCAAGGGACCAAGATTTTTGTCCCTGTTTCTTGCCATATGTAGAGAAAGAAGGATAACCACTCTCACCTTTCTCTCCTTTTCGGAATATTGTCTCACAAGTTCTCTTTCACATAAGAATACTTCTTTCAGCCGAGGCTTTTTTGGATATTTTTTACTTTAATGCTGGAAATCCAAAACAATGAGAGGAGCATACAATAATGTAATTTGTTGTCATTTCCCTTAAAATGAATTATTTTTAAACCCAGGTAAAGCTGCTATTTCTTTTATGTTATTTACACAATAGTGTTAACTTCATTTGTATGTTAGGTTTGTTAGGAATTCATGTAATGGCAAATACTATGTCACTAAAACATCACACACATAGAATGAAGCTACACATATTTTGAAGAAGAAACCTTTTTCGCACCCCTTGGCTCAAATGTTCTTTAATACAATATGCACTAGATCAAATTAAATACGTGCAGTACTAAAGATAGTTCCCTCCTTTAAAACTACTTGCAAGTTCTCCAGTCCTTTGTCCAGTCTCTGTCTACAGGTGTAAGAGCAAGAACTCTCTGGAAAATGGTAGTATTAAACACCAAGTTTAATTCTTATTGCAAATAATGTTGAAATCATGTTTTAGGTAGCCAGAGCCAAATCACTAGAATAAAATTTTGAACATTTCTTCTTGAAAACTAGTTTGTGAAAAAAATACAATATTTTCTATTGTAAAATTCATTTTCCTCTTTTATATCCTGCTATTTTTATCAACAAGTTGCAGATTTCAAGCACTTCCTCCTGTTTCATTTTTTACTTTTAATTTGGTTCCTTGTTTGAATCTGAAACGATAATTATTTACATAATATATGATCAGAAAATGGTATCAGTTAGGAAAAAGTAGGTTTAAGTAATAGAATGTTTTTTGAAGGCAGCATAAGGGCTCCATAGGAATTGTTTACCATTTACAAAGGCTAGGCTGTAATCTAACAGTTGAAGTGAAGATTTAGCTTGCAGTGTGACCAATTATGCCATTTTTTGCTTTGTCTGACTGCTAGCGAAGTAGGGTCCATCAGTTGTAATGAGACCCAGTGCAGTGTCGATGCCGACTCGATGGCAGAGTTCAGTGTTTCACACTGCCTGGGCTCTGTCACTCTATTGAATTAGATTGATGATGGCAGATTGCAGGGGGCACTAACTGGACCTCAGTGGGAAAGGATGAAGTGTGTAGTCAATCCTGGCAGGCACTGTGCTTTGAGGACCCTTCACCCCTTCACAGCTGTTGGCACTAGTCCATTGCTAACAGTGTCCACAGGACTTTAAAGAGACACTATGGGCCTTCTAATTTATGGTCTTAGTAACTTGTTACTGTCGAGGCAACTGTGACCTCAATTCTCTTATTGACAAAAAGATGAAGTGCTATTTGTTTTCTCTGACCTTTTAACATATGAAAGGCTATAAAAGTTTTTGTTGGTTTTTTTTTTTCCTTCCTTTCTTTCTTTCTATGCCCAAAGTTGCATTTCCTCTTAGATAAGTTTCTACTGACACAGACTTTTATATGCAGGAATCATTACACCAAGACAAGCTCAATGATAAGATATATCACTGCAGTGAAATAGCTGTATCAGTCATTTCTAAAATGCTTCTGATCCCACTCTTTCTTAACAGCTTTCTAAAGAACGCGAACGTCTTCAAGCAATGATGACCCACTTGCACATGCGACCCTCGGAGCCCAAGCCATCTCCAAAACCTGTAAGTGCATATTGCTTTATAAACAGTAAATAGGTCTACGAATGTAGCAGGCTAAGAAAATGAACAATTTAGTGACAGTTGGAAAACAATGAGTGTGATGAAAAATATGGCAATAAAATGAAGGTAAAATGCAATATCTTGTCAAATTGTATGTTTCTTTAAAAGTAATGCTATCTTTTGCAAAATCTATCCAATCTACACCATAGGTGACACTAAACAAAGTACACCTATAAGTGTTGAAATCATTGCCTTGAGACTGAAACTAGAGAGAATATCTTTTTGTGATAGGTTTAGAGATATTAAAGGAAATCCACTTTGAAAGATTTTAAGTTCATTGACAGTAAGAAGTAAATGTAACATGAATCTAGGTACTTAGGAAATTTTGCAAATTACTTACAAGAGACACAAGTAAACAATTTGTTATTCTTAAATGAACAAAAATGTTATTTTATGCAGTGAATTGAAATAGTTGT